AAAAATAGCTTTTGTGAAAATTATCAAGCATTTTGGATGCAAAATTACGTAGATATTTCAAAAAGATCAAAACTGCATGTGCAACTATGGCTAGAATTCGAATGTCTTTCGACGTTGAAATCGCCTGCAACTCAGACAGATCTCAGAAACAGCTCGAAGCACTTTTATGATACTTCGTCGCGATCTAGGAAAGATCAGAGTTTGCTGTATCTAATGTCACGAATTTCAACAATTTTTGTGTAGAATCTTCCATAGCCATGTTGGGTAAATGACAAACAGTCATGTGATGCGTGCATGCGAAGAGGATTCGATGGTTGGCTCTCGGGTCATCGTCGAAAACACGAACAATGTGGCTCGATCTGACCGAAATGCTTTTTGTTGAATGATTGGCAAGGAAAAATCGATTTAATGAATTCCCATTTCATCTGCTACCGGCGTTCCGTGCATTTCGGCGTCAACTCATTCTTAAAACAGAAAAAAGTGCAAGAAAGGAGTTTGATTGATTTGCGTAATCATACAAGACAATTGTATTTCTTTGGTGCGACCTATTTCGAAGCGAAAACAAGTTTAGTTTCACTAGTTTGAGAGGAAAGAGAGATATGAAAGCGAATACCTTTTATGCGTATTCCATTCTAATCTGAGAGCATTTTTTGCGATGGAAACGATTGGCACATCACTGATGGACAATTATCATAGAGTGTCCTCATAACGCGGAAGTGATTTACCGCTGTTAGAATTGAAGTGTAAACAGCTACACTCATAATCAGTTCTAGATAGCCCTTGGGTGGCCTTGCAGGCTATAATGATCACTTTGCCGCCTTGTTTTGGGAATAAGAATGATTATACCCAAAATCAATCTGGAATGGGCACTAAATTATGGTCAGTGATGACTAGTTTTGGTAAGAAATTTCCGGGTTCTTCAGATGACATTGATTTTACTACCTTTGCAGCTACCACCAGTTTCATTAAGGACTTCCACTTGATAGTGAGTCCAATAAAAATGGCACAGCGCTATTGAGTCACGCTTTCTAAATTGGAACAAAAACAAGAACATTGAATTATCCAAAGTTACGCGATTTCCTGGGAACCTTAGGTTAAGACAAATGCGCGATATCAAGTATGTAACAGTTTTCTGAATAGGTATCGAACAGCTTCCCAAATTGTCACTCTGTCAATTTTCTCATTCTGAATCCTTTGAGTCCCTTAGCTTCATTCTCTTTATCTCAAAGTGTTAGATAATGAACGTAAGAGGCATTCAACGTTTATACATATTACCAAAATAGATATATCGATCTGCGTACCAAACATGGCGATAATAGTTTAGAAAGTTAATTCGATAAGTCGTTAACGGTTTCAACTCCTCACGTACATTTGTAATACTAAAATGTTTTCAGAAAAAGGCTCAGAATCCAAAAAATGCGCTAGCAAGATGGATCGTTTGATTCATTACTTTGTACAATTTGGCCAAATACAGTGTAGTCCGCAAACCACATATTATACTCGTGAATGTTCAAACTCTTGTCCTGCATGCGTCAAATTTTCTATAAGTGCTGGAAGAAAAAGGAAGAATTTCGTGCAAAACAGATGACCAAATCTACTCCCAAAATCCCCTAGATCAAACTCAACATCTCTGTCGCACCTTACATCTTCAACTCGTGCAGAAATAGTGAAAGTGTTAGTTTGCACTAAATCACGAAAACAAATGTAAAAAGTAAGTTTAAGTTGCACTTTTAGTCATTGACCCATCAGTCTTCAGTGCAAGTGCAAATTATTAGTCATTGAATTCCACAATTTGAGACTCTGAATCACATTTGATGGTGCGACAAAGTAGATGAAAAAACTTTTTCTCACTTTGGTGAGAAAAACGCTATTCAAGTTGTAGTGAATAAGGATAATTTGTTAATACCATCCTGTTCTTACATTCTGTTAGACATATTCATGACATGAGATAAATTAAAAACTTTATGAAATCAATGCCCACAATTTGTCATCTTATTACTCAATTATCAAGCTCGACGTCCGCCAAAACAAGAGCAATGTTATTCGCTATTCATCTAACGGATCTTAGTGTTCTAAACAGCGTAGTACTATCGATCCATGTAAAAAGATTAGCTGGTTTATGTGCAGTTTCTTTTTGGTGCGAACTGACTGTATTCAAACTATCAGTTAATCATAGAAAAGTGACTTATTAAATATTTGGCAACCATGTCTTGCGGCTTTTTATTTTAACTTGCTTCTGAATGCTGTGCACTCGTCCAATATAGATTATAATGCGAGCTACGAATGCGGCTATTTCTTCTGAATTCTGCCATCTCATGCATACATATTCAACTGAAACTTGGTCTCGGGTTTTTTAAATTTGCTCATCATAAAAGCGTACCCCTAGTGGAGCCGTTGTTAGATTGACGACCACGTAATTTTGAGTTTCCGCCTTTTGGGACCAAGACATGTCACAGATCGGTCAATATTTTTTTTTGAAAAATCACACTTACTGCCACCTCAGTAGCCTACAGTAGCAGTAGTGAGGTTGACAAAATAAATGGAAGTTACATCTAGACCCTCCGCAAAAGTGAATTTTTCAAGTGAGTTCCTTCTAGGATGGTCATCATTCTCCTAAATTCAAACCTTGACACACCGTGTATATCAAGCTATCCACGTGGTAGTCATTGCTTAACACACCATGTGTTTAAGCAGTCATCAATGTGTTAAACAGAATTACACTTTTTCAACTGTTCTGACTTGTTGAGCCCAAACCGATCGCATTCACGTATTTTGGTCCAGTTGTGTAATAACGCATTCGCCAAATCGCCATTATCAGCGTCATCAGTATTTCGGGTATCAGCCGAGCTATCAATAGATCTCCCCCTCCCCCTCTCGATCATTCGTAACGATCCGATCTAAACGAACAGACGCGGTCAGCGATCAGATCATCCCTGTTTTTCCTGGTTGGAGTAAGAAGCGTTGCATTCGAAAAAGATTCGATGGTCTATGAAATAAAAATAATTGCGGTAGTCAGTTAAGGAAACTAGAACTGAATGTTTACAACGCTTCAAGGCCTGGGAACTCGAAAGAGAAATGCTGCCAGCTCAAGAAATTCACGTAAGATGATTGTTGAATGTCATAATATGCGATGGTTTTGAAATGTGTTTCTTACATGCGTTGTTGTCAGCTAGCAAAACCAGAGTTATCACGAAAATCCAAAAACGCGTACTTGGTGCGTCGAAATTTCTAGCAATGCAAAGCGTTTTTAACAAGCTTCCGACGAAGATAAGTGGATGCTAACTCAGCTACATGCGTATCCATCAGTTTATTCATTGACTTTAAACAAAGATATCTATGTGAACACGTAGTAGGTGGAGATAGAGACCGTTTGAAGGCTGAAATAGAAGACATTAGTGCACCTGTACTATTCATCAACATATGTACAAGAATTACGGAAACGAAATGAAGTCTACTTTCAGCATAAGTTTCTTGAAACATAGTCAGAAGTGACTATTATTAGCAAAGCAAAGAAGTGAAATATAGCAAAATAACGATAATAAAGTAATAATAAGATAATGTATCAATTGCGAGAATAATGATGAAGAATATTTGGAATACATCAAAAAAGGGAGAAGTTCCGGGAGAAGTTGAAACTTACAATTAGGGCAACCTAATGAATCGGGTAGTTTGTCCTGATCCTGCAAGAAAAAAATGGAAGAATGAATGCCCAAAATGGAAACATGTCCATACAAATAAGAGGGCGTACAGCGTAGCAAACGTATCCATAGGAGTTGCAGCCAACATAACTGGACGTTGATAAAGCCTTTTAGTAGCAGATTTATGATGGATGTTACATTTGTACTTCTATGGATTACCTTTGCGTTGCAAAACTGGTGGCGTGCTGGAAAACTGTCGCGTCCCAATTGAGCAAATGTTTTCAGATGCTATAAAGTTACGCTTGATATAAACTCGCACATAATAGGCGAGCACCTACTACAATTAATTTGATAGCTTTTCTCTTCTTTGATGCGGCGCATTCATAATTTGATATGATGCAGATCAGGTGGTGAGCTACAAAAAATGTACGCAAACTTGGTGCCAAAGCATCAAAATTTTACGCATTCTCCGAAAGCTGGTCAAACTCAAAAGTTCAACGTTTAAAAACAAATGGAAGAAAAAAACTGTACACAAATAGTTGCTAGATGAACTTCTATTAATACAGTCTTGGACTGAAGCATTCGATAAATGCGAACGGCTGCATCTTTCTTTTTAACGTAGAAAGATTCCGAATTTGACCAGCTTTCGGATAATGCGATTTTTCACTCTGCTCCTCCACCAATAAAAAACAAGCGATTTGTGATATTCTTAGTCCATTATTAATCTGCATTAGGTAGAGCAAGCGCGCCACAGTGAAGAAAAGCTATTAAGTTGCAAAACTTAGGTGCCAATCTAGTAATTATAGGTTCTGTATGCAACTATGTCTTGCTTCGCTTAGCGGAGTTCAGCTAACACCTTGAACTGCAAAATTTCAACTGCGATGAAGAAGAATTCGGTTATGTACTTTCGTCGACCTTCACTGAATGCTCGTCAAATGACCAATGACCCAAAATTTGTCGAAATTGTTGATCATCACTTTTTCGCGTAACGAATTCCCAAACAATAGTGCATTTAGTGCGGAATTCAAAACATTTACTCTACTCGGCGCTACGTTGACAGGAATGTTAATACGAATTGGACGAGATACGCATCTTACAAGCCTGAAAGCCCATCAACAGTAAAAAGGCAGGTTTTTATCAGAGGCTGGATCGAAATAAGCAAGAAAAAAACACCTCGCAAAGGCGGTAAGGCTGTTTGGGTTCTTCTGGAGCCTGCAAATAAATTTCTCCTTTAGAGACGTTCTCAAAAAAATAGCAAGAACTCATTTCTTTTTCACTGACAAAGAATGTTTGCGCAGTGACTGCACTCAACTGAAAAATAGATTGTTTGTATGAGTAACGAAGATATTTAGCAAAAGTTCAGAGACGAAGACTGGATAAGAAAAACAACATCAAAGTGTCCACGCCCCGACGCCATCGTCCACCGAATTCTCACGCGCTCGGCCCCCGACAGCTCCGCCCTTGACCGGTATAAAACAGAGCGAAGACGAAGGGAGATCTGACACTACACTGGTGTAAGACATGGTGCACAACATGCTAGTGGCTTTATTTATCCTAATCACTCCTACCGCATCCCTACCACGGCTTAGGGACCCATTCGATGGTGAGTCGACCCAAATAGCCCTTTTGTTTTGCAAATTTATATTGTTTATTTTTGCAGTGCCGGAAGCGTCGCACTCAAAACCACTTCCAAATGACCATATCAACCCATTCTTCACTTTCAATGAAGATGAAATCCCAAGAATGGCGCCTGTAGATCTCGACGAGGAAGTCGAAATTGCCCCAAAGAAGAAGGTCGAGAAACTCCCAATGCAGAAAATCCCCAAGCACCATGTCTTTAATGAGGATCGACCTATTCCCGATGTAATGCCTGCACTACCAATTCCAAAAAGTGCAGAATTTCTCGAGCCTCAGCCTGGTGTTGCGCCGAAGTTCACGGGTTCGGTCGAAAAGGAGCCCTCTAGTACATCTGGAGATTTCGATTATTTCAACTTTGGCGAAGGTGAAGGTCCCGTAACCAACCCAGCAGCCACATATCTTGCCGGAGGAGATTTTGAGAAGGTACGGTAAATCTTCCCCAAATCAATTATTATCCACTATATCTCACTCTTTCAGGTTTCTGCTCCTAAATGCACAATGCTCGGCTGCACTGGACCTTTGCCAAATGACGGCAGCTTCTCTATCGACCCCCTAAAATCTAAGGGGAAATCTTGTCATCAAACATTTGTTCCAATGAATGGATGCACGAATAACAAAGGCTACCCGATGGGTATGCTGTGTTCGATCTGCTGCGACTGTACTGCCAGTTTCATCAGAGAAATGAAGAAAACCCATGGCTACAAAATTAACTACCCTGCCTAATCTACTACCCTGCCCAATCTATCATATTCTACCGTATTCCGAATTAGTGAACAAATCTCTCAACACTGCTTTGCAATCAATTTGTTTTCAATTCTATCTCATCTAGGCGGGTTTACTGTATATACACTGCTTGCTTTTCGCTACTGATATCGCATCTCGCCCATCCATTCATGTATATAGGTGTTTATAACCTATTATTTGCATGTGTTCATGCTTTTTGCTTTGATCGCATTGCTGTACATATTGCACATTGTTCACTGTTTTATGTGCGTGAAAGATTTCAAACAGTTTTTCCAGCACTCGTGTTATCACACAAAGCGATCTTGAGACCTTCACGGTTGAATCCCTGAAAATTCACGTGTTCGAGAGAAAAATGTGACATTAATGGCAGATTTCTCCCAAAGAAATTTCGAGGTCGAACATCAAAAAACTCGTTCGAATAGCACTATAATGTAAACCATTTGGTATATTTGACCCCACTCCGTTGATTTTCCTATGATCCAAACCTCAATATCATCCAGTGATTCATTTAACGTAAGAAACAAAAAGGATTCGACACACCTGTATTAGACGGTGATCCAAGAAAACCTGCGTACATTTGATTGCTAGTAACTTACTTGTATAGAAGCTTTCGCAAATCTTAAGTACCATTTTGTACAAAAAGCTACATTTTGTATAAAAAGCTGTACATTTTGTAGAAAAAGCTTTCGCAAATCTTTAGATACCGTTTTGTAGCTAGTTCCTCAGATTTTACTTACAAAAAATCCAGTCTCTTCTATCAGTGTAGGATTACGATAAGAACACTAGAAATTGTGCGAAAGATTTGCAAACTTTTAAATTGACTAAGTTGCTAATTTATGTGCTTTCCACTTTTACACCCAAGAAGTCACGGCGGATACTGTGAGAAGGGTTTCCCAATAGCTATCGAAAATCTGATTATGCCAACTAAACTGCTCTACGAACATTTGAAAAGGTATACAACAGTCAGCAGATAAATCCTCCCCCCCCCCCCCCTTCGAACTCATTTTCATTGTCTTCAGAAAGTTTTGGATTTTTCTCCTTTGCCAGCGATTTGCAATGGTGACAGGTTGGAAATCAATATTGTAATTTCACAGTAATGACAAATGATAGATGGTTCGTTTTGTACTGTATATATGAGTTGAACCCAGCCCTACATTATACTACCTAAAGATTCGTAAGAGCTGCATTGACAAGAGATAACCTCAGCGATCGAACGTTTGACAGATTTTTTGACATCCCGTATCCAACAACTGTGAATTTGCGAAGTGCTAAACGAAAGAACGCATGCCTACATATTCTAAGCACCATTCTGATATCAGCTTGGATATACAATCGGATAAGCTTGCTCAAAATCATTTAAACGAAATATTCAAACCTTTCCTTGAAAAAATTTTTGAATCCAGTTTCCTCTATTGTCTTAAAGGCCAAACAGTTAGTTCTGTTCCTGGGCGATAATTTGTCTTCAAGAACTTTTTCCGCCTTGCGGTGTCGTCAACTGCAGTAATCCAAAATTTTGTGTCACATTGCTTCTCCATTTTTAACGTCACACATTCCGAAAATTCTTCGAGCGCATGTCATGTCATTATACAGGTCGTCCTATTGGCTGAACGAGTGATTCATCTTCCCATTTCGTCCACCAGAAGAAAATGTGTTGCACTAATCTAGAACAGTTTCAAGACTGTTCTAGATTAGTGCACTCCGAGACTGCACTTCAAAATTCTGAACTTAATAAATTTGCCTTGAGTATTGGCTGGCAAATTTCGAACTCACTAAACTTGTTTAGATTAAAGAGAATTTTGTCAAACTTTTACTGAGGGTGATTGAGATAGAAAAAAGACGGAAGTGGTAACGGTAAGGTAGTAAGGTACTAGGATTTGCACATAAAATATTTTCCACTTTTCCAAAGGAGAATTTGGTGCTAGAACCACATCATTCATGGTTATTCATGTGTTGCTTCGACCAACAATTATTGAGTGTACAGAGTTCTGCATCACATAGCCTATTTCACTCTTTTATGACTACCTTCAGGATTCTCATCATTGTTCAAACGCATAAAGTCAGTCTTTCTGTTTGAGATCGGAATGTTCGGAATGATGCTGTCAAGGTTACGGTAGCCAAAAACTCAAACAGAACAGGAAACTGTCAATTTGTTTTAGCAAGTTACAATTTGTTGCACATCAGCCAATTGTCTGTGATCATCCTGATTGTTTGGACGATCCCTTTTACAAAATATCACTGAAAGATAGAATAATGAGTAGATTTGTCAATTCCGTGTCAATCTGTGCTTTTTGTTCATAGAAAACTGTTTAAATTGCTAATAAACTTCTTTTTTGGTTTAAACCTGAGAACAGAGCTATCTTTAAATAGATTCAGTTCAGCTCACCCAGGTATCTGCCCATCTTTAATCTGCACAAACTTAGCCATATCACCCAAACTTTAGTCCATTTCATTCTTTGTCGAGAGGGAAAGCAACCCTGCACTTTAATGTTTATGGAGATTGTTCAAGAATTTCTGTAACCCGCGAATGCATTGAAATCGTCAATTTGTTTCGTACAGATGCATTCCAACTACTAACACAGCAAAACTCTTGTAGAAATCTTCTCTAGCATTCAGCTACCGGAAAACCGACACGGGACAAGCCATCTGCCGAAAACTGAACGAACTGATAGCTGCTTAATTTTATATGGAACTATAATTTCGTACGAAAAGATGTGACTGTGAAAGTCCGAGCGATTTGTGACAGTACTAAAAATATCCTATTTCGCTGTGGTTTTGATGCGATTTTCGATTTTTTATGGCCATATGTCAATTTGCAGCTGGCCTCCAAAATAGAATAAAGGATTTGGAGCCTCAGTCCTGTAAGTCCTATTGTAAGGCTGTTTTCAGACTGGTTGGATAAATCGAATCTTTTTCTGCCGTTGCACTTGCCTAAAGTGCAAAAAGATCTGGTCAACCTTTGACTTTTCCAGTGGAATGGTGGGACCGGTCTAAACCTTAACGATGTTGAATGAGGTCGAGTGCACGACCACATTCCGCGCCGCTGTCTAATGAATGGTGAAAGTAAGCCTTCGTAATATGTATGGATTTTCTGGTACTGGTATTTTACCTCTGACAATGAGAGACTTCGATGCCCCTTGACTGCGCTTTACCTCTAAGAGCAATCAGTGACGGCGATGAGATTCATGCCTAAAAGAATACCAAAGTTTTGTTCCACATCGTCTTCAGAAACACGATTTTTCTTTTGCATAATTGCTTCACCCAACTGTGCATAACAAAGATCAAAATCTGAGATTTTCGCAAAATGTGGCCAATGAAGAGTGTAATAGTCGGATAAAACGATCAAATACCAGCCAGATGTGAACTACTTTGTCAAATGACTGGTCACTGATTAATTGTCCAAAGAGCATCAGACGATTTTTCAGCAGCTGGTCGAATTCTTTTGCACGGCAAGTGGCATTCACTGAAGCCGAAACTTCCAGCGAATTTTTGCAAACAATTCGAAGCGACGAGTGTGTGGAGGATAGGAATATAATTCAACTCCCTTATCCCCCTCCCCCCCCCCACACACGCACACACACCGTATTTCTTAAACCGTAACTCGTCAAAATGTTATGGCACAATGATTGAAACCTTACTAATGCTTACAACCATATCAAACCGCAGTTTGACTGTTCCTATCTCTGACAATTCTTGACGCAATTTGATTTCTATTTTTTTTCGCAGATCAACCACACTTCAGCCTTTCCGATGGAGTCTCATATGTCCAGCAAATTCAATGCATGTAAAACTACTTGCAATTTTTTGAAAATTTCTTCAGTTCTCAGAGTAAATTTGTAATAAGTCAAAGTGACGACGAAAACTTCATTCTGTTGAATGCTTCAAAGATTCGAGAACATAGACCTCAACTTAATGATGACTAAAGCAGGATTCGATCAATTGCGACGATGGCTAAGGGCAGTTGGAATTTTATAGCTGCAGTCTTGAATTTTAAACACTTCATTCTTCATATACTTGCATGGCAATAAATATTTTCTCTATCACTAATTCGATCTTGCTAATACCCGCTCCTGTTTGTCTGTTGCTAGGGAAGAAGAATAACACTGTAGATATGCACTAACAACAAACACGAAAGTACAAAATACATTTGATTGTTTATGTGGGGAGTTGAAGGTCTCAAACATAGTCCACTTTGATAAAAAAAAACCATTTTGCTGCAGACATTTTCTTTTAACTTCCGCATTACTTCCTTTGTGTACTTTTCGGTCTGGTTCGAAGTAGCCCACTTATGAGCAAGAACAGAAAAAAATTGGGGTAAAACCATTTAGGCCTACAAGTGCACTTTTACGTAGAGTATTTACGCAAGCCAAGGGAACTATGAATTTTGCTTTATATAGATTCAGGAAATAGCGTTCCTTGTATGTATAATCCAAGGCTCTTTGATAGGCTTTGAATCCGTGGAGCCAGTTTGGAAAAACCAGATCTGCGTTGATGATGGGTAAAGAAATGAGTTTTCGCAATGATAAACTAGTGCGAATCTATTGAGCATGAAAAGCCATCCTTTTCTACTTCATCAAATTGCTCTCCGCAATTTCCTAGGCATAGGTTGTCCGGTTATTAATGCAGGATCATTATGCGATCATGGCAATGTGCATAAGAAAATATGAAAAACATACCGCTGGATAGAGCAAAGCAACTTCTACGAAACTGCATTAGAACGATCACAAAAATTTGGATCCAGATGAAGCTTGAAAGCAAAATTCAAAAAGTTTAACTATCCAAATCGGATTTCCATCCAAAAAGATCCTGTGGATTTCTAACTGGTTAGACATATACTATACAAATCAATAATTCATAATTACAGTTGCCTTATTTTTTTCCAAGGTCAGGAGCTGAGAAAAACAAAGTTGGCATGCCATTGGAAATGCACTGAGATGTGACATAAGGTAGCAACCTTTAGTAGTACAACCATAGACTGTTAGTTTCCTGCAAGGCTAATTTGCAAGAAATACTGAATTTAGCCCGAAAAAAGCGATATTTTCTCATTTTGGCCTAATTTGAATTTTCAATTTCCAGCTGTTGTAAAGATCTGGCAGGTGTGCATGAATGTCCGACTCAGGAAGCATACGTGTGACCAAGTTGGAGCCCCACAGGATATTTTTGAATGGAGATCTGATTTTTGGATAACTCGATTTTTTGAATCTTGGCTTCAATTATGCTGATCTAAGTTGTTGCGATCT